AAATGCTGCCTTGAATAGAACTTTAAATCTTATGGAATTTGAAATAATGATAAACAGTATCTGAATTACAGTTTCCATAAATGGTATCTGATGTGCACTATATTCACACACAAAATGGATATGGATCTGTTATAGTTATGGAGGATGTAGTAAAACTTTGATATCTACTTGTCATTGGTGATTTTTCACATCACGATATACCAAAATAAATAAACATAGGAATTAAATTGTCAAAATCTACCTGATTATAGTGAGGCCAGAATTAGACAGGCAGACAGGCAAAAGTCAGATCTAGAGAATGGAGGAATAGAAACGTCGATTCCTTCAGAGTCCTTCATCTACCCTAATCAATAATCTCCCCATGTTCCAACCTGTTGCTAAGGTAACCTGTCCCAGGGATTGTCTCCTATAAGGAGTTGTTAATTACACCCCTTTCTCCACTCCTCCCCACCCTCTCCAGCCCACCTGTTCACACCTTTGGCCATCCCACTGAGCATTTCCTGGACCTAGTCACATACTCAGGGAGGAGAGAGATAAGGGAAGAGAGCAGCAGAACACATATAAAGCCTAAGGACATAAAAAAAGGCTAAATACCCTCTCTTCTTGGGATACCAGGATACCAGCTATGGCCCCCTCCTCCTTCCCTGGAGAAGTGTATATTGCCCCCTTTTATATAAACCCTGCTTTATATGCTTGCCCCCGTGTGCTTCTCTAATGTAATACTTCAACATGTGAGGGAGCAGAACTCATAAACTGCTGTCTGGATGTGAAAAGGAGTGGTTTACTAAAATGTGCTATAGCAATATTGTTAGATTATGCACTTACAAAAAAGCTAATTTCCAAGGGTTTTAAGCAAGCACAATTTATTCCTTCAATACAAAGGCCAACTTTTCATGCATATTATAGATACTATTATGCTTAAAATTCAACAACTGACAAAAATCATGAAAATTTTTTCAGGTGTGGTGGGATGTAACTATATTCCTAGTGACTCAGAAGATTGAGGCAGGAGCATTGCAAGTTTCAGGCCAGTCTCTAAAACAGTAAGATTGTATCTCAAAATAGGGGAAAAAAAAAAAAAAACAAACAAAAAAACTGGGGAGGTAGCTCAGTGATACAGGACACCTGGGATCAATCCCCCTTACCATCAAAAATAACTGAAATTATAAACTAATAGTTATTAAAACTATTGAAGGGAAAATGATATAAATCATGTGTGAAAAGGAAAATTCGAGAGTGGGTATCTTCCCTTAAAAAGGCCATCTGTTTGATTGAAGGAGAATGATGAAAGCAATTGAAAGGTCACAAAAAGATGTAAAATACTATACTCTTTGTTGAAAGAATAAAACAAATATGACTTTAAATTTAAAATAAATATACTAATTCAACTAACCTGGTGAGAAAAATTATTTGAAATTAAAGATATGGGTTTGCTTTGAGAAGATAATCAGCTTTTATAAAAGGAAACTAAACTACATGTATCATAAATGTAAATCATTTTCAGGATTTGCATTACTCAAGAAAAAAAGTTGTAAAGCGCTTCACTTTTTTATATGAGTAGCTCAGAGAGTCTGAATAGACAATGGAATATTACTCAGAAGAATGAAATTATGGCATTTACAGTTAAATGGATAGAACTGGAGAATAGCCCACTATGAGAAATAAGCTGATCTCAAAAAAATACAAAGGCAGAAAATTTTCTCTAAAATGCTGATGCTAATTCACAATGGAGTGCAGGGCAAAGGAAGAATGGAATTACTTTAGAATAGATAGAGGGGAGTGAAGGGAGGAAAAGGAGTATAGGGGGAGGAAGGATAGTAGAATAAAACAATCATTATTACCTTAACTACATGTATGACTGCATGAACAATGTGACTGTACAACATGTAAAAATCAGAAAAATGAGAGATTACACTTCATTCATGTATAATATATCAAATTGAATAAATATATTCTGTCATGTATAACTAATCAGAATAAATAAAATAAATTTTAAATATCATCAATAAAACCAGTAATATTTCCTAGGACCCACAGGACCAATAGGTTAGAAACTATTCATTATTTCCTAGAGACAAGCAGACACAGATCAGTGGAGATTCTAGTGAAGTAAAGTATATTTAGTCAATAAGTAAAGGCATCAAGTATAATTTAAACAAAGCATCTGAAATCTTCCTAGGGGGGGAAAACAAGAGATGACTAAAACACAGAGGTTATTATCATAAAACTAGGCAATATCTATGTTCTCTAACCCTGTTTGTTGCAGTACAAGCTAGTTAACATTGTATTGTTAGTGTGAACTTCTGATCCTGAAGTAGCTCAGTGATACAGGACAATTGGGATCAATCCCCCTTACTATAAAATAAAATCGATAGATCTAGATTTGAAATACTGAATTAGCAGAATTTGCTAATTATCCATGATTTGCATTACTCAAGAAATGCAAACTTAGCCACATTTCTTCTCCTGTTGGAAACATCTTTTGGCAATCTTTATAATTTATTAAAACACTACATATTCACACATATCAGAAAATACAAGCATTTAATCACCTCAAGGAAAATTTTATTCAGACTGAAAATTTGTCACTCATATTTCCAAATATGGGAAGGTCTGTACTAAAGGTTCAGGATATTAGGCATAACAGTTGGCACTCCTATAAGACCTTTAATTACATACAAATACTTAAGCTTTGAGTGTTTAGTGTTGTAATAAAGAAATAAGAATAAAACAAAATTGAGATCAAAAAATGTTTTCCCCATCCATTTGAGAAAAAAACATATGAAATAAATGCTCAAGCTTCATGTTTCAAGAGAGTAATAGAAATCTATATTTTGATGTTGACATGAAGATTTACATTTTTGACTGGCTTCTCCCAGCAATAATCATTATTTGGAAATTAAAGTAGGTATGCCTCTTCTGTCTTGGCAAGACTGAAGTTTGAGACTTTGAGTCATTTGACTGGATAACATCTGATGGACATGGCAACATCTGTGCACTGGAAACGATGGACTAATGAAACTACCTGGAACTTCCTTCTCCTCTACTAAATGCATTGCCCAGCACTCTCCAGCTACTCTCTGGGCTATTTCCAAATTTCCTCTTAAATCACCAGCTTTGTGAATCATTAACTGTATGTGTTATCCAGTTTCTCACAAATGATTATGATTCTTAGCATGCTGATGTCATTAACTCAATAGGTCAGGTTAGTTCCAGTGGAAATCCATAAGCTCCACCTCAGCCCTTAGCCCTAACCAGAACTTCCACTGCTGCTGATGACAGCACTTTTCTGCTCAGTCCATCACCTCCTGCCCTGAAAGGTCCACCTGCCACACCTTCTTGTCCTTAGTCTCATTAGATGGCCTCAGTGTTTAGAGAGGAACACAGCAAACTTCGCATCAGAAATATTTGGTCTTTACCACACGAAATATACAAGATTATCTACCATATTTTCCTTCTTCTAAATTACTGGGTATGCTGGCTTATATCTTGACCTGAGCTAAAGATCTCCTGCATTCACATATTAAGCTGTGTATATTCATATTAGTTCAGAATGTGGACCTCAAAGGAAAATCCAGCTGCTCAAAACATCAATTATGTTTATGCCCTTGAGGCTCAAACATATTTTAATTATTATAGATTAAAACTCAAGAGAATTTACCAAAGAATTACCTTATAAATCCTTTCATCGTGTTTATTCAAAATATGGCAAGTCGATATTGGCAGGTAGGTGACTTTCTCATTTGTTAACAAAAATACATTTTATGTTTTGTGTGCAGAATGGTATTGCACTGATGGAGAAAAATATTTTGATCAATTCCCATTTCCTTGTTTTTAATGACCTTTCTTTGACTCTGAAGAATACATTGTTCTATGCAATCTCTTCTGATATATTTGTGGGAGCCTAGTAAAAAATGGCCTGTTGACACAACATGTGGGATATGATTTTTATGGTAATATTATATTTTCAGAAAAACTAGAGAGTGTATCAAGGTAGAAATTTAAGACACATTGAAGCATCTGTGCTTCATGTGTACCTACTTTAATGAATACATTAGTGACATCAATAATGCGAAACAAAAAATGTCTACTCTTTTCAGATAATTGCATTGGTTATATGTAGTTCAGGTGCCTCTTTCCCTGAAATTTCTGCTGGACATGTTAAAGAATCCCCCTGTGATCTATTCTCCTGTAGTTAACTTTCATCTGATAGTAGAGTTTATGCTTTGGTTTACATATTTACTCCCTTTTCCTTCCACTGAACATTGTGTGCTCAGTGAGGATGTGCAATGTAATCTCATATCCTGGGGTCGGAGGGAGAAAAACAATGAAGTGTTAGTTGAACACAAATAAATGTGTGGATAAATATGAAAGAAGAAAGAAACAGTGATGATTCTGTATCATTTTTGTTATGTATTAAAAGATCCATTCCACAACTTCATTGCTTTGTGAACAAAGATTAGCCAGCAAACTATTGATCTGAAATAAAAATGGGTACTGATTGTTCATCCTTTATAGTGTATACAGAATAATAGGCCATTTTAGTTGTTGGTCCCTGGAAATAAAACCTCCTTTATTTATTTATGCCTTGGAACATGGGAAATATTGTGCAGAAATTCATTTCTAATTTTCTTGCATTTAGATTATTTTCAGAAAACTTGAAAAAAATTAAGTGTAGAGACCACTAAATACAGGTATAAATGTTGGTAAGTATTTTTAAGTGTAAGTATGAATTTATATATATATGTATGAGAAAAAACAAAAACAGAAAAACATTGAATGTATGTCTATCTTTGCAATCTAGGGAGAAAGAAAGAAAACACAGACATGTAGAGTAAAATCATCCTGTAGAAATTCTGAAGAATTTGATGAGAGCAGAAAGTAGTCCCACAGATGATTGAATCAATCAGAGAGTGATGATGATGATATGAATGGAACAGATGCAGAATTTGAAATACACTCACTTTCTGTGTCACTTTGAGCTTCCAAGGGAGAGGAAAATGTCCTCCCCAAACCACACTGTGGGGATGGCATTCATTCTCTTGGGACTGACAGATGACCCAGTGCTGGAGAAGGTCCTGTTTGGGGTGTTTCTGGTGGTCTACCTACTCACACTGGCAGGAAACCTGTGCATGATTGTGCTGATCAGCACCAGTCCCCACCTGCACACTCCCATGTACTTCTTCCTTGGCCACCTCTCCTTTGTAGACATCTGCTATTCCTCCAACATCACTCCCAACATGCTGTATGATTTCCTCTCAGAGGACAAGACCATTTCCTATGCTGGGTGCTTCACTCAGTGTCTCCTCTTCATTGCGCTGGTGATCACTGAGCTTTACCTCCTTGCTTCCATGGCCCTGGACCGCTATGTGGCCATCTGCAGCCCTCTGCATTACAGCTCCAGGATGTCCAGGAACGTCTGCATCTCCCTGGTCACCTTCCCTTATGTGTCTGGCTTCCTTCATGGGCTGTCTCAGGCACTGCTGACTTTCCACCTGTCCTTCTGTGGCTCCCTGGAGATCAACCACTTCTACTGTGCAGATCCTCCCCTGCTCCTGCTGGCCTGCTCTGACACCCACATCAAGAAGATGGCCATGTTTGTGGTGGCTGGCTTCACTCTCTCCAGCTCGCTCTCAGTCATTCTCCTGTCCTACCTCTTCATTGTTGCAGCCATCCTGAGGATCCGTTCTGCTGAAGGCAGGCGCAAAGCCTTCTCCACTTGTGGCTCCCACCTGA